GTTTTAAATAGACAGTGTTTTGAACACAGTTTGGTGGTTTAACTATTTGTCCATAGCTGGAACCCTAACAGATTCTACCACCCGGGGTCAGGGTGGACCAGGAAGCAACAGCAATTAAGAGGTGGTTCCACGCTCCTCAAAGCCTCCAAGCCTCCAATCAGGAGCCTTGTTGCCGGATGTAGTTTATCGTCATACACTGGACGACACAATATATGGAAAATAGAAATCGTAAAAATGGAAGAAAAGGATACTACGTAATATCAGTCCGTTCTATAAAGAAGTGAATGCTCGGCAGTCTTCTCCCAGATGAAGAAGAGACTTGGACGCAATCGAAATGTGACATTGCCACATCAAGGCAACATGATTTCAAATGACGTCAGACATAATGAAATGGACAAAGTCGGAAAATTATTTTAATTATTTTATGTTTATACATTTTTTTGTAGATACAAATATTTAAGTAAATGCTCTGTTTATAATAAACAGTATTAACAACATTTACCGCCCTGAATGTCCGAGAAATTTTCATAGAAAATATTCGTTCTCCGACAGGAATCGAACCTGTATCGTAAACGGAACCGTCATATAGCCTGACGTGCCTTAACCGACTGGGCCACAGAGGACCGTTCGGTGAGCAAGGTCGATTTTACTGTCTTTAAACTACAATCTTCCATGATTCTCTCACGTACATTCATATCTGCTCAATTCGTATCCAAATGTAAACAAATGACGTCACACATTATGAAATGGACAAAGTCCGACAATTATTTTAAGACATTTTTATGTTTATACATTCTTTTTATAGATAGAAATATTTAAATAAATGCTCTGTTCATAATAAACAGTATTAAACAACATTTACCGGCCTGAATATCCGAGAAATAGAAAATATTCGTCCTCCGACAGGAATCGAACCTGTATCCTAAATGTCTTTCTAGATAGCAGTCAATGTGCGACAATCTTCTCCCAGATGAAGAAGAGACATGAAGCAGTAGAAATGTAGCCCTACAAAAGGATGTTAAAAATACTAATAGATAAAACATGTGAGCAACGGCAACGTTTCAGAGAAAGTGCAAGCAAAAATGACACTTATACTTAACATAAGCAAGAGAAAGAAAAAAAAATCTAGGGCATCTAATGAGAAAAGAGGGTTTGGAAAATTTGATACTTACAGGACAGATTAAATGCGAGAGGGACAGAGAAAAACAATGTATTATCTACCTAGCTTATGGATGGCGTATCATGGCTTAGACGGTATAACAAAAAGACAAAATTTATTAAGAGCTACAAAGGAGGTTATCGAGATCCTTGCTCGCCAATACCTGAACAGACACGGCACATTGAAGTTTCAAGGTAGCTGGGTTTATTTAAGTAAAAGAACGATGGTATATGATCATAAGCATTGGTCACTTGGTGAAGATTAAACTCGGTATTATCTCATAACATACTAACCACTGCACCACGGAACATCTCGCCAGTTGTTGCTGTTAAATGCTTGTAGCCTTTCAAATGGAAATCATGCCAAAATTCATCATTAGTGGCCACAATCTTAACAATATAAGATATGCAGATGACACAGTACTGATAGCAGATAACAGAAAAGAAACTACAAAACCTCCTACAGACGGTAAATAAGGCGAGCGAGAATCAGCTACTAAGCATAAACTACAAGAAGAATGCAAGGCCATTATTAAAAAGATGACCCCAAAATGTAAATTACAGGTCGAGGATACTAAAATCAAACAAATACAAAACATTTAAATATCTGGGGAGTGTTTTAACAGAGGACGGAAAGTGCGACATTGAAATCAGAAGCGATATTTGGATGGCCAAAGATGTATTCCAAAAGCTAAGCAGAGTATTAAGAGACAGGAAAATTTCGCTGGAAACAAAGAAAAGATTACTAAAATGTTACGTGATATCTGTCTCCCTGAATGACAGTGAATGCTAGATAATCTACGACGCTCATAAATATTTATCAGGTTAAATGAAAAGTCTAGATAAATTATGGAAGGTTCTAAGTGACGTAATTTAATGTCTAATAAGACTAATGAAGTAGAGACTCGAAGCAAGAGAAATGTTGTTCTACAGAAACATGCTGAGGATACCATGAACCGAACATGTGACCAACGACGAGCATTTAGAGAGAATGGAGACAAAAAGGAAATTTATACTTAACATCAGGAAGAGACAGTTGAAGTTTCTACAGAAGGATGCTGAGGATACCATGGACCGAACAAGTGAGCAACGTCGAGGTTTTGGAGAGAATGGAAACAAAAAGGAAACTTGTACTTAACATCAGGAAGAGACAGTTGAAGTTTCTGGGGTACGTACGGAGGAAGGAAGGCATGGAAAACGTGATACTCACAGGACGGATAACATGGAAAGAGGGACAGGAGAAAGCAACGTGTAACATACTTAATGGCCTTGAGTAAATGGATGGTAGAACAGAAAAAAATAACAAAAAAACAAAACTTATTAAGATTAACAAGGGGCAGGAGGATGTGGAGGGCAATGATCGCCTACGTCTTGAATGGACACGTCACATAAAAGAACAAGAATTTGAG